CAGGAACTCCTTTGCATGTTAGGCCACACACCCCTAATGTAGCCAATCCTAATGAGTTTCTGCTGTTGGGTGTGGCCTGTTATGCTAATGAGTTCCTGCTGGGCGTGGCCAACTTGGGAGCCAGCCGGAACTCCATTCCTGTGCGTTCCTGCCCAAAAATAGCCCTGCCTCTAATGATTTGTTATTCACTGGATAATGAAAGAAGATATATATATATTTTTCTCCAGCAAGGTTTCGTTGTCGTATCACGGTTGTTTTTTCTTGCAGAGTTCAACCTCCAGTTGGCGGCTGGAGGTCTCCTGGGATTTTCGCCTGGGGGAAATGGCCGCTTTGGAAGGGGGACTCTGTGGCACTATATCCCGTGGAAGCCCCTCCCCTCCCCAAGACCCCGCCCTCCTCTGTCTCCACCCCCCAAATCTCCAGGCATTTCCCAACCTGGAGCTGGCCACCTTGTGTGAGGCTTCTGAGGGTCCAGAATACCCGGGTGGGATGCATGTAGAGTTGCCAACCTCCAGGTGGGACCTGGAGATCTCCCCGAATTAGATCTGGTCTCCGGGCTCCAGAGCTCCATTCCTGGAGGGGGGACTCAGTGGCCCGATTTCTGCCCCACAAACATCCCTTCCTCCCGGACTCTGCCCTCTCCAGGCTCTGTCGCCAGATCTTTAGGAATTTCCCTCTGTTCCCTTCTGCGGTGCAAGAATTCCATCCTACCAACTAGGGTGGCCAGCTCCGGGTTGGGAAGGAAGAGGGAGATTTGAGGGGTGGAGGCTGAGGAGGGCGGGGTTTGGGGAGGGTAATGCAATCTTAGGCTGCATTCACAGAAGCCTCGCATCCAGATCACGGGAGGTGGTAGTTCTGCTGTATTCTGCTATGGTCAGACCTCACCTGGAGTCCTGTGTCCAGTTTTGGGCACCACATTTGAGGAAGGATGTTGACAAGCTCAAGCGTGTCCAGAAGAGGGCAACCAGGATAGTGAAAGGGTTGGGTTCCAAGTCTTACGAGGAAAGGCTGAAAGAGCTGGGTCTGTTTAGCCTGGGAAAGAGAAGGCTTAGAGGGGACACAATTGCAGTCTTCAAGTATTTGAAGGGCTGTCATGTAGAAGAGGAGCTCAAGTGGTTAAGATGCTGAACTGCAGGCTGTGGAAGGTCGGTAGTTCAGCAGTTCGAGACCCGGGTTGCCACATGACGGAGTGAGCTCCCGTCTCTAGTTCCAGCTCCTGCCAACCTAGCAGTTCGAAAGCAAGAAATTGCAAGGAGATAAATAGGTACCACTTCAGTGGGAAGGGAACAGCGTTCCATGCGCCTTGGTGTTTAGTCACGCCGACCACATGACCACGGAAACATCTTCGGACAGCGCTGGCTCTTCGGCTTGGAAACGGAGATGAGCACCGCAACCCTAGAGTCGGATTCAAATGGCTTTCGAGCAAGGGAACCTTTACCTTTGCCTTGTAGAAGATGGAGCAGATCTATTCTCTAGACTAGATCTAATGGGTGGGAATTACAAGGGAGTTGATACCGGCTAAATATTAGGAGAAACTTCCTGACTGTAAGAGTGGTTGAGCAGTGGAACAGTCTGCCTTGGGAGGTGGTGGAGGCTCCTTCAGTGGACGTTTTCAAGCGGAGGTTGGACGACCATCTTCCGGTTAGGGTTAGGGTTAGGGTATGTTGTAGGGCTCTCTTTCGGCTGTGCTCCTGCAGAGTTCTGGGGGTTGGACTAGATGACCTGCAAGGTCCCTTCCAACTCTAACATTCTATGATTCTATTATTCTATGAGGGGAGGGACTTCAGCGAGGCACAATGCCACAGAGTCCACCTTCCAAAGCGGCTGTTTTTTCCAGGGGACTGATCTGTCGCCTGGAGGTCAGTTGGAATAGTGGTTCGATCTCCAGCCGCCGCCTGGAGGTTGACAACCCAACTCATACTAGGCTCTCGGGTGGGAGTGGGCCACCCGCGGTCACCTTTTATATTTCATATGGAGGAGAGGGGGGACAACGAACGCCGCTTTGGCTCCCCAGCGGGGAGAGAAAGGCAGGCTATAAATAAAACTGAGATAAGCCCGGCAGCATTAGCACAAGTTAAAAAGGCCCTCTGTTTCGTCAGCAAGGATCTGTAGCTTTCTTGTGGTCCAGAAATGCAGCGCTCTTGAAACTAACTCAAGAGCCAGTTTGGCGTAGTGAGAGCCAGTTTGGTGTAGTGGTTAAGGGCGCAGACTCTAATCTGGGAGAACCGGGTTTGATTCCCCACTCCTCCACTTGCACCTGGCTGGATGACCTTGGGCAAGCCACAGTTCTGTCAGAGCTGTTCTTCCAAGGGCAGTTCTGGAATGAGCTCTCTCAGTCCTGCCTACCTCACAAAGTGTCTGTTGTGGGGAGGGGAAGGGAAAAGAGTTTGTAAGCCGCTCTGAGACTCAGAGTGAAGGCGGGGTAAAAATCCAATCTCCTCCTCCTCCTCCTCCTCCTCCTCCTCTTCTTCTTCAATCTGGTTGGCTGGGCTGCCGACCTCCACGTGGCCAACTACCACACAAAAATGGAAATCCAAGGAATCCAGTTCTGCAAATAACCAGAATAATCTGTCACGCTGTACAATTCACGCTCGAGACTTCTGTCTTCTTATACAGTTCTACTTACAATTATAAACAAGACACATAACAGATGATTTTGCCACCAGGCATAAATGACATCTGCACCAGATGAACAGTGACCCGATAGTCCTTGAAAGTAAAGAGAGACTTGTACTTTCAAGGGCTATCAGGTCACTAGTCAACTGGTGGAGATGTCATTTACGACTGGTGGCAGAATCATCTGTTATGTGTCTTGTTTATAATTGTAAGGGGTCATTTCTTGCAGGAGTGCACAGGAGCAGAGCTCCGGCAGTAAAGAGCCCAGGGGGCGGGCACATGCAATAAGCCCCAGCCCCGGCTCCCAGCAGCCCTCAGTCAGAGCAAGAAGCAGCCGGGTATGCTGGATGGTTTCCCATGGGGAGTAGCAAGCTGCGTGGCCCTCGTACCCGAGGATTGAATGCCACAGGTTGTAAAGGCAAGCCAAAGGCAGGGTTTGGTATTCCTATCTCCCATTAATTAAGAACACAAGAGAAGCCAGGGTTGGATCAGGCGAATGGCCCATCCAGTCCAACACTCTGTGTCACACAGTGGCCAAAAACACCAGGTGCCCTCAGGAGGTCCAGCAGTGGGGCTGGGACACTAGAAGCCCTCCCACTGTTGACTCCCCCAAGCACCAAGATGACAGAGCATCAGTTGCCCCAGAGTCCCTATCTATACCTTGTGGCTAATAGTCACTGATGGACTCCTGCTCCATACATTTATCCAATTCCTTCTTGAAGCTGTCTGTGCTTGTAGCCGCTGCCACCTCCTGTGGCAGTGGATTCCATGTGTGAATCCCTCTTTGGGTGAAGAAGGACTTCCTTTTATCCGTTCTAACCCGACCGCTCAGCCATTTCATGGAATGCCCAGGAGTTCTTGTCTTCTGAGATAGGGAGAAAAGGACTGCTTTCTCGACCTGCTGTATCCCATGCATCATCTTGTAAACCTCATCCCATGTCACCCCTCAGCCGCCGTTCTCCAAGCTAAAGAGCCCCAAGAGCTTTCACCTCTAATCGTAGGGGAAGTGTTCCAACCCTTTGATCATTCATTCATGCATTCATGCGTGCCCTGGCCCCCTTGCTTCAATGCTCATCCCACCAGGTTTCTCCTTCACCCAGGGGCATTTCATGTTGGCGCCAAGCAAGCAGCATCCATCAGTGCATGCCACCCCCACCCCCTCCAGAGCCTTACCTGTGGTTTCCCATCCCTCTGAAAATGGCCTTTGCCGTTCCAGGTCATGAACTCGCATGGATCTGCCTTTTGCTGAATCAGACCCTTGGCCCATGAAGGTCAATATTGTCTACTCAGTATTGTCTACTCAGACTGGCAGCTGCTCTCCAGGGTCTCAGGCTGAGGTCTTTCCCATCACCTCCTTCCTGGTCCTTTTTCACTGGTGATGCCGGGGATTGAACCTGGGACCTTCTGCATGCCAAGCAGAGGCTCTACCACTGAGCCAGGGTCTCAGGTCAAGGTCTTTCCCATCACCTCCTGCCTGGTCCTTTCAACTGGAGATGCCGGGGATTGAACCTGGGACCTTCTGCATGCCAAGCAGAGGCTCTACCCCTGAGCCAGGGTCTCAGGTCAAGGTCTTTCCCATCACCTCCTGCCTGGTCCTTTTAACTGGAGATGCTGGGGATTGAACCTGGGACCTTCTGCATGCCAAGCAGATGCTCTACCACTGAGCCGGAGTCTCAGGTCAAGGTCTTTCCCATCACCTCCTGCCTGGTCCTTTTAACTGGAGATGCTGGGGATTGAACCTGGGACCTTCTGCATGCCAAGCAGAGGCTCTGCCACTGAGCCAGGGTCTCAGGCTGAGGTCTTTCCCATCACCTCCTGCCTGGTCCTTTTTAACTGGAGATGCCGGGGACTGAACCTGGGGCCTCTTGCCTGCCAAGCAGAGGCTCTGCTGCTGAGCCACAGCCCCTCTCCAACTGACTGACGTGTCTCTTGGCCCCAGAGTCCCGCCGAGGGCGTCCCCGGTGGAGCCAGACAGCAGCGTTCAACCCCAGGTGTGCCGGGGAGCCGGGCTAAAGGCGGGGAGTGGAACAATTTGTGACGAATGAATCAGCAGCAGCCGGGGGCCTGGAGGGAGCGTCGCAAGCTGGCGAACGCTGAGCCCTCTGGGCCCCACCCAGCTGGGGGAGCCAGCTTCCGGAGCTGCCACAGAATCTCGCTCACTTTTGAATCGCTCTATTTTTAGGGCCGCTTTTAACTGATTCAGGAACACAGGGTGGGGTGTGTGTGTGTGTGCGTGTACCAGGCGGGCCCACCTCCCCAGTATTTTTCCGGTGGGGCTTTTGGGCCGGGGGGTGGTGGTGGTGGTCTGGAGCCAGCGGCTGAGCAGCAGAGAGTGAGAGCTGCCCCATGGTCCAACTGTTCACTCTTTCTTTCTCCCCCCGCAGAGAAGCCGCAGCGCCCGGATTCAGCTGCGCAAGAGGACCGCCGCGCCGGCCCAAACGCTCCCAGTCCGTCCGCGTGGGGTGAGTTCCCTTTCGATTCCTCATCGCTCTCTCTCCGGTCCCTGGGCTACAGCTCCAGGCAGACTCCACCAGGAAGTCCACCCGAGGGTGCTGGTGAAAACTCCATCACAAGAATATCAGCGTACACAAAGAGCTTGAGAGACGTTCTTGGGCAGGAGTCATTTCGTAGAAAAAGAGGTGCAGGAGCTCATTATATCTCATTTGCATATGCCACCCCCCCCTGACATCACCGGAAGTGTGTCAGAAGGCAACACCCACCGCTCAGGCGCCACTGGACTGTTTTGGATTGCTAGCTATTGGGGGGGGGGGCGGGCGG